GCCCAAGGCTGGGTGCACCCAACGCTCGCCTCCGAGTCGCTTCAAGGCCGTCACGGTGTGTCTCGCATGTTCCCCCCAGGCCCGGGCCCCAGCGCTTCGCGCCGGGCATGATGTGCGGGGACGGCGGACGGCGGACGGCGGACGGTGGACGGCGGACGGCGTGCATCGCCCTAGACGAGCGGCGGGGACGGTCGCACACACAACTCGGCGTGTACGCAAGACATCGTGCACACGACGCTGTACGCTGTCGCCAGCGTATCTTCCGGGCTCCTGGACGCGCGGACGCGTCGGCGCGCACACCCACGACGCTCGCACGGCGGGGCACCCGACACCGCGCGGGACGCAAACAGACTCCCCAAAGCCCCGGGGCATTCGCGCCTCGTTTCGTGTGTGCGGAGGGACAGGTCCGCGGGGCGGCGTCTGTGCTCGGCTCGCCGTGCCCCGCGCGGGACGCCCGCGACATGCAAACAAGACGAAAACAAAGATTGGTGCACGGGCGGGTATATATTGCAGGGCACGACAGGCTGGGGGCTGCACCCGGCCTCCCGTGCTTTCCTCTTTCCTCTTTGCTTTCTGCTCTGCTCTGCGCTTCCTACTCCCTCTCGCGTCGCGGTGCACGTCCGAGTCGTGCGTGTACGCCGGCACCGCTGTCCGCGCTGCTGTTAGTGTCCGATGCGGCCACTCGTGGCACAGAGCACAGCGCATGGTGCGGCGCGCTGTGGCTCGACTCGACGGAGGTGCGTATGTCCGTCCGCCGCTGCACCCGTTCCCCGCGCTGATAGACACCAGGTACGCAGGCGTGCATGACCGCACTCACCTGCGAGTGCCGAGCGTGACGGCGTGAGCACCGAGCGCGCGGCGGGCCGTTCGCACACGTTCGCCGGGAGTGTTGTCGACCTCGGCGCGATGCTGGAGGTGCGGGAGAGCGGACGAGTATCTGTGATACGTAGACGCCCGTCAGTAGACGTAGTGCGAGGCTCCCGCATGTATTACCATACCTTGCGTGATGGGATTTGAGGCGCGAGCGCCGTGCGGTGTCAATTTGACATCGATTTTCGTGGTAAACCTCAGCGTGATGGCGGCATATGTCGCATAGGTACCCTTTGCTGGCGAGTGCGAGGAGGCGAATGACATCATGCGTTGAGGGGTTGCATCGGGATGCTGAAGTGCGCCCGCGGTGAGTGTTTTCGGCCTCCGTGCGACGTTCCCGGCGATGCTGGAGGTGCGAGGATTGCTGCACTTAAATAGACGCCCATCAGCAAACATAAATACGAGGCTTAAGCACGTAAAACTGTACCTGCCGCGTTGAAACCTGTTGTACACAGTATGTTGACGGCGCGAGCACCACGCAGTACCCATTTCACGTCGAATGTCGCAAAAAAAACCGAGCGGGCCGGCAGTATTTGTCGAGGAAGTACCCGTTGCCGGCGAGTGCGGGGGAAACGAAAGACATCACGCTGCCGTGCGAGCACGGCCAGAGTATATGACAGCAAGGACGAAGCGAATCTGCGCACTCATCGAGGAGAAATGGACGATTCGATGGTCGAGAGTATGCGCCCGCAAAACAGCAGGGGCAGCGCGGGAAACGACGGGGAACGTACCTGAAGCCCCCTCTGGACGTTTCTCGTGTATAGAGGCCGGGCGAGCGATGCACAGGCAAAGGGTTAGAGGGGAAACGGCGGTTTGCAGCAGCGGGACTCGCGGGTGCGGGGGGAAAAGAGAGAGGCAGGTGTGCGCAGACTGGCCAAAGTTGTTTGGGCGAGCACAGGTGGAACGAACAAAGACAGCGGCGGGGAGCGACAAAGGGCGAGAGAGCGAGAAGGCGGGCGAGAGAGCGAGAAGGCGGATCGAGCGAGTCTTGGACAGGGCGGCGACAGGACTCGAGCAGGCATGACGCGAGTGAAGCAAGGGCGAGAGAGCGAGGAGAGGCCACTGAGCCAGTGCTGAGGCAGGCTGAACCTTAATTCACGCGGCACTCCGAGAAGAGCGGAGAATGTGGCGTGGGCGCCTGCACGTCCCAAAATAAACAAAGTCGCTCAGAGGGGATGTCCAGCCTCGCAGGCCCAAGCTCGCATGCGTACTCTTCCTTCTCCGTGCGCCCCCAGCAGCCTCCAGTGATCTCCACGAAGCTCAGGCGTGTCGTTGATGTCGAGTCTACGCCCCTGAGCGCGGTCACCGCCCCACCCACCCCCATCGCCCGGGCCCAGTCGATCGCGGAGACGGAGGGACGGGGGGAGAGCCTGGACCGACAGGTCAACGGGCATGCGCAGCGTGCGGACGATCGTGCTGGCAATGGAGACAGGAGGCGGCCGCAGGACGTGAAGGCGAGCATCAGCCCGGACCTGGATGCGGTGCGCGCCCGGGCGACTGCATGGAGTCGAAAACAAGGCAGGACGATCGAGGAGGAGACTGCGATGGTGCAGACTGCCCTTAGGTGAGCTACAGGGGATACTGAGTTGTGTGTTCGCTCGCTGACATGGTTCGTGTAGGTTTGCGTCGAGATTGGCTGCAGACCAGCGTGCAGCACTTGCCCCAGACACAGACACTCCGTTCGCCGACCAAGTGGATGTGGTAACCAGGCTGCTTCCGTATCATGCTTTCCAGCAGCCTAGGGAGGATCTGGACGCGGTCCTACAATCCGGGAGCATATACCCCTCACGCAAGGGAAAGCGCAAGGCGACCGAAGAAGATTTGCTTCGCGAAGAGATTGCAGGTATGATGCTCTATTCCCTTTCAACCTCCCCGGTAGCTTATGCCTCCTCATTCAGATACTAAATTCGCGTTGGACTGCTGGAAGAGGCGGCGGGCTCTTGAGAAGTGTTTCAGAAAAGCGAGGATAGAGGAGGGCAAGGTACGTAATTCTGCGTTTCCTCGGAGATGACATAGTCTAAATGTCAGCTTCTCAGCGAGCTTCACCTGCCGATCAAGGATACATTCTGGCACAAGCCGTATTGGAGGTTGAGCATGCGGACACGACCACTCTGCAACAGGAGCTACGCTCGGCGCGACAGGAACTGGACAAACTCGAACGAGAGAAACGGCTTACCACCCCACCTCCGCCGGTGCCCACACCCGCTGCTGCCGCTTCGCGACCTACAATGAGTGTTCGAACGGCCAACTACTACAACCCCTCTGCCACGTCCACGCCATCCCAGACGCCTACCACCGCCACTTTCATGCCGCCGTACCGGCCGTACTCGTACTCGTACTCGCAATATCCCACCACGCAGTACACCTACAACCCGCATGCATATGGCGTGACACATTACGGGAGCGCCGCCTCCTACGGTGCTACCACTTCCACGCCCACGACCCCTGCCTACTCGCTTCCGGCCAGCGCGACGACAATGACACCAACATCCACCGCCTCGGCACTGGTGCAGCAGGCGCAAGCACACCCAGCCTCCGCGAGCAACACGGCAGTTCCCGTTCAGCTTCCCGTCACCTCCCTGAACGCATTGAGCACCCTGGGGATCGTCCCTATTGCTGCTGCGTCGGTGCCGTTGGCAGGCCCGCAGCCCCCCGCGGTGATCAAGTCCACAAACGGGAGCACGCTGAACTTGGAGATCAACCTGTTGCTCCTGCAGTCTGCGCAGATGAGCGGCCTTGCGTTAATCCTAAACACTCTTACGTCAAGAGGCGCGAACGTGGACGGCTCGACGGCCGGGAGTGGGATCTCTGCTGCTCCGAGCCAACCCGCGTCTTACGCAAACGGAGGTGTTGGGACGGCGGCAGCCGCAGGCACCGCGAGTTCCGCCGCTGCTGCGGGAAGTGCCGCCTCCGCGAGTAACGCCGCGTCCTCCGCGAGCGGAATTCCTGCGTCTGTGCCTCCCGCCGCGGTCCAGTCAGCGGCGCCGAACGCTGCTTCGCCGCCTTCTGCGGCACCCTCCGGCCCCGCATCCTCTGCTTTGACGTCGCCCTCCCCTTCTGCTTCTGCGGGCACTCCCCAGACATGACCCATTGTACTGAAGAGAAAAGTCGAAGACACACGGGATATGGACGGACGATCAGGGGGCGCGGGACATGTCGCGCGGAGGGATATCGCGACTCGCGACTCGTGTGTGTATCGTTATTCGTGTAGCAGTACCAGTAGAACAGCAGCGCCGCCGAAAAGGCAAAGCTTGTAAGAATGGAACGCGGTCCCACATGCGTCGTTGACGGCCACGCTGGCAGAAAAATGAGGGCGATGATTTCGCGTGCGATGTGTTCGTGGACAACTTCCCTTTTCGGCGGAGCGTGTCGAATCTTGAGCAGATCTTTCGTGGTGGCGGCGGGCGTGCGCGACAGCGATGACGTCACGCGTTGAGCGGCGTGCGTGCGCGTCAGAGTGCAGCGAGTGGCCGTTGACAATGCTGGACTCTGGCTCTATGAGAGAAGACAGAGGGGACAGGGGGTGCTCATAGGGTGCATACAGGGAGGCCGCAGGGACTTCGCGCGAGGATGAACAGCGGGCGCCTACGGACTCGGACTTGTCTCTCGACCACGCCCTCGCGTTTCCCGCACTCGTGTCCTTGCTCCCACTCTCCAAGTCCGCGCTCGACGGTGTCCTACTATGTACAAGTGCTCGCTCGCTATGTATCTACCGGCTCTGGGGACTCGTGCATCTCCCTGCTCCGCCTCGCCCACGCCGTCTCTGCTCTGTCCCGCGGAGCCCTTCGCCCGCTCGTGCTCTGGTGACTACTCTCCGTGCTTCTCTTGCTCTGGCGACGACTCTTTGCACTATCACGATGTCTTAGTATCTGTGGCCCGCGCTCTCTGCAAAGTCGACGCACTTACTCTGGATCCGCCTGCGAGACCGACTGTATGCGCGCTGTCTCTGTCCTCTTGCGCCCTGCTTGTCTCGCGCCACCTCGTCGCCGCTCTGGTACGTACGCTCGCGCGATCCGCATCCGCGCTCGACTTCGAACGAGGGAACGCAGCCCACCGCGGCGCGCGAGACCGATGTGGCGCATAGGCGCCGACCGCCCTCTCCAAGCGGCGGCGGTACCTGGCCCATCTTGTAGGTCCACCGCGGTACCGCATTGACAAGCATCGGCCGCCGTCCCACAGCGCCGCCGCCAGCCTCCTTGTTCTTGCGCGGGCTCTAGCCGCCGGCGAGCAACCTGCAAGCCTCGGTAAGTAGTACTCGATGGATGCAAGCGATACATGTACTCACCTTCGTTCTAGACAGCCTCCCAGCTGGATTCAACGCTGCTGGGCGGCCGGCGGCGCAGACGGGTGCTTCGGGCACGCCTGCGTTGTCGCTGTGGCGGCCCGCGGCCCGCGATGACCGTGCACCGGAAGCCTCGTCCCCGACGCCTTGATGGCCGCCGGCCAAGTGCCTGTCGGTAAGCCTTGCATGTGTCGCCAGCAGCGGAAGGTACTTACCAGCGATGCTCGAAAGCTGCCGCACACGGCCGCGAGAGCATCGAGGGCTCCGTTCGCGCATGCGGAGAGTCGTTCCGCGCGGATGCCGACACCTCATGAAGCAGCGCCCATTCCGCCGAGGCGCCGGCGCATTCGTGTTCGATGACGGGAGGCTTGTGCCTTGGCGTGCGAGATTGTATCGTGTGTGCGCGACGTTTCGGTGGCCGCCGGCCTGGAAGGTTACGGTAAGTCTCGCAAATATCCCGCTCGAACAGTGTGCTCACCTTCGATGGTACCGCCGCGCGCACGCCCTCGACCTGCTGAGCTCCCATTTCGCGCATCTGCCCTGTACCGCGGTGCACGGCCGCCGGCCTCGTGGTAGTCGGCGCGAAGACGCCAGCATCGAGGCGTCGCGGCGTCAGGTGCGTGTCCTCTGGCGGCATGCGTAAAGCGGTTACGAGCGTCGAGGAGGGTGCTGCGGTACGTGTGGGAGGAAGGCAATCCAAGCTGTCCATCCATTCGGAAAGCCGGGGCCCCAGGTACCGATCAGGTACAGGCGGTAGGTTCCGTGCGCGTACCACTGGATGAGCACAAGACTGGCGAGCTGGCTGAGGAAAGGGACACGGAGGACGAAGAGGAGAACGCGCCCGAGCACGCGGAGAGCAAGGATAACATGGGAGAGGGCCTGTGCACCGAGGCGGTGCACGTCGTGTGAGTTGTACGGCATCTTGTTTGTCGTCGCCGGGGTCGTCGGGTGCAGAGGGTGGAGGGGGTAAAATGGTGGTGGTGGGGAGGAAGAGAAAGTGAACTGCAGCTGGAGCCGGATGGGCCCTGCGCTCTGCCTGTACGGCTGGCAGGTAAGCCTGCGTTCCTTCGACTGCCCGCTCGCGTTCTGACCTGCGTGCACTCCAGACTCCGTCTGCCCTGTCAGGAGGCTCGTTAGGGACGGCATGTATGCACTTGTACCTGAGTCCCCGACATGCCCCAGCACAACACTTCCCCCCGACCACACACCATCCCCCATCGCACGGATCACCCCCTTCTCCACTTCCCTACATCCCAGCAATACTCCGGGGCGACTACATCGCTTGTGTGGCCACAGCGATGTCTCGATAGGCCCTCATTCCAAGGAGCGAGTGGCCCATCCCCCGCCAGGAACACCTTCCCCACTCGATGCGCCGCAATACGAAGCCCTCGCAGTGCTCAAAACACGTCGAAACAAGCCGTCGACTCGTCCCCCACTCGTACTTCACGCCGCGCGCCCGTACGACCTCTCGACGCGCCCTCGAAGACCCTCCACGCGCCGATACATGTGTGCGCGAAGTCGCGCATAAGGTACGTCCCTGCCCTCGACGACGCTCGCAAACACGATTCCTGACATGCTATACACTCCCCAGACGTGCCCGCCACCCTTCGTCGCCGCCACGGCCACGAGTCCTCCTGGCGTGGGGCCATCTACATTCCGACATCTCCGGCCCCGCTATCGAAGCCCCACGCGCGCCGACGCGTTCCGCGCCCATCCGACTTGTTTCCTCGCGCCCTGGAGGCCCTGGCCGGAGGCGTCGAGGTGCTCCGCGACGCACACGCGTACGAGTGCGATCGCGGCCGTGCAAGGCGGCGGGAGGCCCGGTTCGCGACGTCCGATGCATGCGGCGGATTCGCTGCCTTCTGCCAAGGTTTGAGTGTGAGGAGAAGGGATCTGCGTCGAGGTAAGTTTCCGGATGTTCTTGCGACGAGCGGATGCGGACTTACCATTCGTGGATGTGTGCAGCTTCGCGAGGGCGGCCAGGCACTGTCGAGGCGTGAGGACGAGCACTGCGGGTAGAGACGTGAGCACGAGGCGAGGGTGAGACATGGGAGACGAACCTGATTGGTGTCAACGAGGTACGCAGCTCGCTCGTATCGCCGCCGCCGCGAGTCTCGATATCCACGACCAGCTTCCCATCCGAGTAGACCGGCCTTCTCGATGCGCAAAGGAAGCCTTTCGTACACGACTCGGGACGCTGGTGTATTGTGTGCCACCGCAGTCTTCTCGTACGAGGACGGATGCGTGTGCGGGAGCGCTCTGCAGCTTCGCGAGATCTGCGAAATTGATGTGAGTTCTGGATCCTCGTGGCTCACGGGCACCAGCACGAACTTACCAATGTCTTGCAGATTCCCGAGAGTAAACATCATTGGGCGAGGTCGAAACACAGGCGCTGTGGGAGCCTGGTGAGCACAAATCAATGCGAAGATGATTGGGACCCTACCTCAATAGTATCGACGTGTGTGTCTCGTTCGCATGCCCGCTATTGCACGAACCGAGTCCCTGCCACAGGCTGCCGGTCCCGCAAGCATCGAGGGGTCGTCTCTGCGCGGTCTTTCCGCACCTGCGACGTGGGCGCGGACGGGCCTTCACGGCGACATTCAGGCTCGAGAGACAGCGGATCGCAAGCCTACAGAAGGGGTTATGAGCACGAGTCGGGGCGGGACGTGAGCTGTGGACTTGCCTGGTGTCGACGCGGTACGTCGCCTCGCGTCTCCGCCGCCGTGCGAGTCTCATCTCGTGTTCTCGTCGATTCGTCGTCTCCGAGGGCTTGTCCGCTGCGTGCCGAGGCAGGCTTCTATCCGCGACTCGGGGCGCCGGTGCTCGCTGCGGTCTTGTCGCATGGGAGCTGTGTGCGCGCGTGGAAGGGCGAGATTGGGTCTCCTGGGACGCCTCCGCCAGTCCGGTGTGTCGGCCGCGTGAGGGACGTCCATGCACCGACCTGGGAGCTTGTGGTGAGTTTGTAGTTGAACCTGCGCACGAGCACGGCATGGGCCTAGACTTACCTATGTCTACTGGATGAATCTGGAGAGTGGGAAGCGGGCGCTGGCGAGGGATGGTGAATACGAGTCGAAGGCGGATAGATCACGAGCTTACCTCCATAATGTCGACGGGTACGTCTCGTTCACATGGCGGCTAGCGCACGTTCTAACTCCCGGATACTCCCGCCAGCGTCGGCGATCGTTTCGAACGATCATTCCGCGACTCGAGCTGGCTCGCGTGGCATCCTCTGCGGCGTCGAGTCGCCATTCCTGCGATCCCGACACGATGGAATGGCCTTGACATACGCTCCCGCCCTTGTCGTCCCATCACAGCTCTCGCCCACCGCGCGACGAAAGTACGGCACTGTGGGAGCATGTCCCAGGACGTCGAAACAGCCTTCACAGCGTCCCGGCAGGCTCTGTGTCAATATCCGGGCACACGAGACGCCAGAGGACGTGCATCTGGAGGTCCAAATCAGCAAAACCACCCTCCAAATACTCGAAATGAACGTGTACTGACCTTCTCGCGTGCGCGAAGTGCAACAGGCGTGACCACGCGGCGTTTGAGCCAGGACGAGCAGTGTTTACGGGTACGTTGGCATTGCTATATGAGCTCCACGGCGTGGTCTGACACTTTCGTCAGTATAGAGTCCATCGCGCGGGTCGAGACGACTCGCGAGGCGTCTCCCACGTACCGCAAGCGCTATCGACGTGCCACCAGTGTGCCTGCGAGTCCCGGGCGCGGTGCGAGAGTGTTCGCGTGCACTCCACAGGCATTATATGCCGTTTGATGTGGGCCACAGAGAGGGAGTCCCTGTCGGGCGTCGTACACAAGCGAGATCGCGTTCCCGTGAGCGTATGCGCGTGGCGCCTTTCCTGAACAATCCCACGAGATCAGCACAGGATCTTCAGTATGTAGACGAAAGTTACCTGTAGCTGCCAGGGACAGCATGAGGTTGCCTGCTGGAGGTTTCGACTGGAGACCCGAGCACAAGAGCGGACTTGGGGGAGGGAGAGGACTTGGTGAGTACGTTCACGGAGTGGTTTGCTGCAGATGGCTGATGTGGACGAGGATTCACAAGATCAAGCAAGTGGGGGAGTTGGGTAGATAAGCAGGGGCGGCGGACGGACAAGGGAGGCGGGCATGGTGAGCGAGGAGAGCAAGAGTGCGCCAGCAGTGACTAGTGACTGCGAGTCGTCGAAGAGAGCGCGAGAGCAGAGGAAAGCAGAGAGAGCCGCCTGCGAGAACGGGTCGATGCGCGCCTATCGTGCCCCACGTGACACTAGATCGTGCTCTAGCGGCCCTCGCTCACGTCCGCCTGCTCCTCCCCCAAAGTCGGTCAATCCGTCGACGGGCAATGAACGCATGTGAGCCCTGTGTTCGACTTCCTGCTTGTTTTCTGACCTGACTCCCAGGAGGCTTGTTAGGGATGGCATGTACGCGCTCGTACCTCGCACACCGCTCTGGGCGACACACAGCGGCCCTCGGTCGTCCAGTCTGCTGCTAGGAGATTCTATCTACGGACTCCGGAATTCCATGGCCGATTCTGGGCTCGTTTTCGCTCTCTTCCTTGCCCATCTTGCTCGCCCTTGGACGGGGACTCAATCTAGGGACTCTTGGCCATCTGCGAGCATCCCAATGCCGTCTTGCGCACTGTGGACCGCTCAGCTACCAGGCAAACACCTAGGCGACACACAGCGACTCTCAGCACACCATGAAACATCTCTCTACGCTGGGGAGCGTCGTAATCTTGCTCAAGACGACTCCCTTCAAAGGAGACTCCCCTCAGCCGCCCTCATGCGCGAATCCAGCCCTGTATCGCGCTCTGTACTCCTAGAACTCCCTCAGACTGCTTTTGCGACTCTCAGCGACCTCCATCGTCCAGACGACACCGCCTAGGACGTTCCTGCAGCCCTCGCTGGCCCGGTGGTGCTCCTCGGCCCTCACCTCATCGCTCACCACCCCCACACCCTCCAGGCTACTCACCCTCGCCCTGGACGACACCCTGGACGTTTCAAGCGCGCTATAAACACCCTCAAAGCGCGGGAAATCGCGCCATCTCCCCGCCGACTCCCTCACCCCCATAGGCGCCCAACCGCCGCCCTCTTGGACAGCTCCTCCACGGGTGCGTTTGCGGCCGAGCCACTAATATAACATGCGATGCTGACCTCCATGGAAGTCCAGAAATGCGGTTCTCAGGCCCGGACACGCATGCCTGTCGCGCGGGACGCGGTGATGTGGCCCCGGGAAGCCCAACGGGCTTTCCGAACCTCTGTGAAATCGCCACAGATCGAGAGAGGGCGGCTGGCTCTCTCAAG